GGGCTGATGGGGACCCCGCCCTCTGGGATCCGGGGCACAGGGACCGGGCTCAGGCCAAGGCGGGGTGGTGTCAGCGCCAGGTCGGGCCCCCACCTGGCCCTCCAGATGTGCCCTGGCAGGTGCAGAGGCTCTCACCCTGGGGCCACGTTGGGTCAGCCCCGAGGGTCTGGGGGGTGAATGCCAGGAGGAGGGTGGGCGGCGGGCGGGGCGGGCGGTGCCCTCAGCTCCTGCGTTCACCAGGCCGCCTTCCCTCCCAGGGGGATCAGGACGACCGTTCGTACAAGCAGTGCCGGACCTCCAGCCCCAGCTCCACCGGCTCCGTCAGCCTCGGGCGCTACACCCCGACCTCGCGGTCGCCCCAGCACTACAGCCGTCCAGGTACTTTGCGCCCGCGGCTTCCCTGCCCCCGGATGAAGATCTACTTCCTATTGCCCTCCCTCTCTTTCGAATCCGTGCCTTACTTTACACACCTGGTAAAACGACGGGCCGGGCGTGGGGTTCCCGGTGGGTGACGGGAGAAGCTGTCCGTTTAACTTGCCCATGGTGGTGGGCGGGGGGACGGCAGAGGCAGCTGGTGAACCCGCGGGTCAGAGGGGCCGTCCGGGAACGTGCAGGCAGCACCGAGCGCTCAGAACCGAGCTGGTGTTTTGGTCATGGGCGGCAAGAAGGTTACGGAGCACGGGTGTTGGAGACCAGAAGCCCGTCAGTCCCGGGCTCACCGGGGGTCTGAGGGGCTTTGAGCCGTGAGGACGGCGTCAGCGGCCAAAAAGAGAGCCAGCTTTCTTCACGCGCAGCTGGGTCGGTGGCCCCAAAGACAGCCCCGTGGAAATTGGCGAGAGGCCAGGGGCGGGCCCGTCCCCGCAGGGGGACGCCCGGTGCGGGGTGCTCCCCAACCCCCCAAGCACACCTCCTTCCCTGCCTGGCGCCCGGCTGCGTATTGCTGTCCCTTAGCTTTGAAAGCCCGTCGCTGCCCTTGGTGTGTCAAAGCCGCAGGACGCTCCACGCACACTCTGCCTTCGTGAGGGATTTTTCCAAGCCGCTTCCTCCGTGGCGGCTGCTGCATGGCGCCATTTCCACGTCCATGGACTCTGGCTCTTAGTTTCACAGCCTTTGTGGAAAAATCAACTCATTCGTCTGCAGTTCTTTCCATTGACTCCCTGCTATGTTCTTGGAACGTCCCGCTCACTGGGTGTCTGGAAGGTGGATGAGAGTCAGTGTGTGTGTGTTGGGGGGGGGTGTGGATGAGTGTGTGGGTAGATGGATGAGGGAGTGACTGTGTGAATGAGTGTGCATCTGGATGAGTGTGTGTGGGTGAGTGAATGAATGAGTGAATGAGTGTACGAGTGTGTGTGTGTGAGTGTGGGTGAGTGAATGAGTGGGTGACTGTGTGAGTGTGTGTCTGGGTGTGTGTGTGTATCTGGATGAGTGGGTATGTAGGTGAGTATGTGAGTGTGAATGTGTAAATGAGTGTGTGTCTAAGTAAGTGTGTGGGTGAGTGTGGGTGGGTGTGTGTGTCTGGATGAACATGTAAGTGGGTGAGTGTGGGTGCGTCTAGGTAAATGTGTGAGTGTGTGTGTGTGTCAATGAGTGTGTGTGTCTAGGTGTGTGGGTGAGTGTGTCTGGATGAGCGTGTGAGTGAGTGGGTGAATGTGAACGTGTGTGAATGAGTGTGTGTCTAGGTGGGGGGAGTGGGGGGGAATGTGTGTGTCTGGATGAGCGTGTGAGCAAGTGGGTGAGTGTGGGTGTGTGTGTGTGTCTAGGTAAATGTGTGAGTGAATGAGTGTGTGGGGTGTGGATGAATGTGTGAGTGGGTGAGTGTGTGGGTGAGTGTGAATGTGTGTGAATGAGTGTGTGTCTAGGTAAGTGTGTGGGTGAGTGGGGGAGTGTGTCTGGATGAGCATGTGAGTGAGTTGGTGAGTGTGGGTGCGTCTAGGTAAATGTGTGTGTGGGTGTGGGTGAGTGTGAATGTGTGTCAATGGGTGTGTGTCTAGGTAAGTGTGTGGGTGAGTGGGTAAGTGTGGGTATGTGGGTGTGTCCAGGTAAATGTGTGAGTGTGGGGGTGTGTGTCTGGATGAGTGGGTATGTAGGTATGTCAGTGAGTGGGTGAGTGTGAACGTGTGTGAATGAGTGTGTGTCTGTGTAAGTGTGGGGGGGAGTGTGGGGGAGTGTGTCTGGATGAGCGTGTGAGTGGGTGAGTCTAGGTAAACGTGTGAGTGTGTGGGTGAGTGAGTGTGTGTGTGTGTGTGTGTATCTGGATGAGTGGGTATGTAGGTGAGTGTGTGAGTGTGAATGTGTGTAAATGGGTGTGTGTCTAGGTAAGTGGGGGAATGTGGGGGAGTGTGTGTGGATGAGCGTGTGAGTGGGTGAGTGTGGGTGTGTGTGTGTCTAGGTAAATGTGTGAGTGTGTGGAGTGTGTCTAGATGAGTGTGTGAGTGGGTGTGTGTAGGTGAGTGTGTGGGTGTGAGTGGGTGTGTCTGGATGAGCATGTGAGTGAGTGGGTGAGTGTGGATGTGTGTGAATGTGTGTCTAGGTAAGTGTGTGGGTGAATGTGGGTGGGTGTGTCTGGATGAACATGTAAGTGGGTGAGTGTGGGTGCGTCTAGGTAAATATGTGAGTGGGTGTGTGAGTGTGTGGGTGAGTGTGAATGTGTGTCAATGAGTGTGTGTGTCTAGGTAAGTGTGTGAGTGTGGGGGAGTGTATCTGGATGAGCGTGTGAGTGGATGAGTGTGAACGTGTGTGAATGAATGTGTGTCTAGGTAAGTGTGGGGGGAGTGTGTCTGGATGAGCGTGTGAGTGGGTGAGTGTGGGTGCGTCTAGGTAAATGTGTGAGTGGGTGTGTGAGTGTGTGGGTGAGTGTGGATGTGTGTGAATGAGTGTGTGTCTAGGTAAGTGTGTGGGTGGGTGTGTCTGGATGAACATGTAAGTGGGTGAGTGTGGGTGCGTCTAGGTAAATGTGAGTGTGTGGGTGTGTGTGTGGGTGAGTGTGAATGTGTGTCAATGGGTGTGTGTGTCTAGGTAAGTGTGTGGGTGAGTGGGTGTGGGTGTGTAGGTGTGTCCAGGTAAATGGGTGAGTGTGTGTGTGGGGTGTCTGGATGAGTGGGTATGTGGGTATGTCAGTGAGTGGGTGAGTGTGAACATGTGTGAATGTGTGTCTAGGTAAGTGTGTGGGTGAGTGTGGGTGAGTGTGTGTGTCTGGATGAACATGTAAGTGGGTGAGTGTGGGTGCATCTGGGTAAATGTGTGAGTGTGTGAGTGTGAACATGTGTGAATGAGTGTGTGTCTAGGTAAGTGTGGGGGAGTGTGTGTGGATGAATGTGTGAGCAAGTGGGTGAGTGTGGGTGTGTGTGTGTCTAGGTAAATGTGTGAGTGAATGAGTGTGTGGGGTGTGTCTGGATGAGTGTGTGAGTGTGTGAGTGTGAGTGAATGAGTGTGTGTCTAGGTAAGTGTGT